ATGCTCACTTTGTGCTGGATGCTGCTCCATGTGTGTTTCACGTCTTGCCTTAATCTAACTTTTATGACAGCCCTAGAAAGTAAGTGCTGTCACTCCTATAGATAAAAAACTGGAGCTCAGAGAGTTGTAAGGATTGCCTATAGTAACACACCTAGAAAGTGACAGAGCTGGGAGGAGGGGGACTTTGAAAGATGACACTATGGGAGCAGAATGCAGTGTCTTGGTTCTGAGCTGCAGTCGCCAAGACCCTGCTCTGTGCCAGGTGTCGTGGAAGATGATGAAGATGCCAAGACACCAAAACATGCAAGTAATACTACACTGAGATGAATGTAACAGTTACAAGGTACAGCATAGCATGGAGGAGGGAATGTGTAATGCTCCCTGGGTTTCTTGGAGGAGACAGTCTGAGTTGGATTAGCCACTTCCTCAAGGGGCAAGAGGGGGAAAGTAATTTCAGTGAGAGGAAACAGGCGCATGCCAAAGCGCACGTGCAATAGCATATAGATCTGGAACATCCTGGTGTGTTTGGGAGGGTAAGCAGAATGTGGCTTCTAGAGCAGGAAGGCTAAGGAACATGGGGTGGGAAAGGTCAGCAGAGGTTAGGTCAAGGAGGACCAAAGCCCTAGGTTAGCAGGTTGTGTGAGAAGAGCCAAATATTAGAGTGGAAAGCTGCTTGGAGGGTCCCTGGCACCTATGGGCATAGGATGGAAGGAGAGGACACACAACCATAGTCATTCTTACCTATTCAGCCTACATTCCCTGAGCCCTTGCTTGCCACAGGGTCCACAGATGAGCTCACAGCAGTAATATGGGAGACAGACCACCTCAACAAATATTTCTGGTGCCTCTGTTGAGGCAGGTACGCTGTGCTAACACAGAGACAGTTGCAAAGATGAGGATGATACTGTCCCTTCCATGGGCAACAGGGAGAGGTGGATACACGCAGATTTGACTGAAGTACTAAGGAAAACGAGAGTCCAGGTGGATTTGGGAGCAGGGAGAACAGATACCCTATCTAGAAGACAGGCTTCCCTTAAGAGATAGTTGAATTAGATCTTGAAAGTGAGTTCACATGGTTGTGGGGGGACGGAGGGCATTGCATTCCAGGCAGAGGGAACAGCATATGCACAGGCACAAGATATGAGTATAATTGGGCCGGGCTCCGTGGCTCAGCCTATAATCCTGCGCCTTTGGGAGGCTGAGGTGAGTAGATTGCCTGAGCCTGCGGGTTCGATACCCGCCTGGGCAGCAAGACCTCATCTCGACAATAAATCAAAAAATCAGCCAGGCGCGGTAGCACATGCCTGTAACTCCGGCCACTGGGAAGGCTGAGGCGGAAGGATCACCGGAGCCCGGCTGGTGGAGGCTGAGGTGGCCGGGAGTGGCCACTGCACTCCAGTCTGGGCAACAGAGTGAGACTCCAACTCAAAAAAAAAAAAAAAAGAGTATAATTGGGGCCAGATGCAGTGGCTCACACATATCATGCCAGCACTTTGGGAGGCCAAGGTGAGAGGATTACCTGAGCCCACGGGTTCGAGACCAGCCTGGACAACTTCATGAGACCTCATCTCTACAACAAATCAAAAAATTGACTGGGTGTGGTAGTGTGTGCCTGTAGTTCTGGCTACTTGGAAGGCTGAAGCAGAAGGATCGCCTGAGCCCAGTAGGTTGAGAGGGTCGTGGCCAGGAGCGTGCCACTGCACTCCAGCCTGGGCAACAGAGTGAGACCCCTACTCAATAAATAAATAAATAAATAAATAAATAACTCAAACTCCAACAGTCTCACGACAACAGCTCCGGTGGCCATTCCAGAAAAAAAGTTCCAAAATTGCTTTGATGAATGGACTACGCACTAGCGTCAATGCATAGCTTCCCAAGGAGGAGTACTTCGAAGGTTACCATAGTGATATTTAGCAGTGAGGTATGTAGTATTTTTTCTAGGATGAGTTCACCAACTAATTGTCAGATCTCATATACTGCTCCCTTTCCTAACCTTGAATCCAAGACTTTGCCTTTTGAGTTCTTTCCCTAAATGGGCCAGACACACAACTAGAGTTGGCAATTTGTTGTGGCAGGCCCTGGGGACCAGATACCAGGTCTTTCATTCTGCTTCCAAAAAATAGGTCTCTCTATGGCTTGAAGACATAGCATGGCTCTGTGTGTTGAGGTGGGGAACAGGAGGACTGGCATGTCATTATGCAAAAAGAAAAGCCTAATATATTACCAGCCATAAATCACATGGTTCAAAAAGCACACAAACACTAAAAGCCTCAGTTTTCTCATCTCTAAAAAGGGAGATAATATCACTTGCTCTATGTAACTTACTGTCCTGTTCATTCCTTTGTTTATTCATTCAACAATTTTCTGTTTGTTTGTTTGTTTTTTGAGTTGGAGTCTCACTCTGTCGCCCGGACTGGAGTGCAGTGGCCGCTCCCTGCCACCACAGCCTCGACCTGCTGGGCTCCGGCGATCCTTCTGCCTCAGCCTTCTGAGTAGCCGGAATTACAGGTGCGCACTACCATGCCTGGCTAATTTTTTGATTTATTGTAGAGATGAGGTCTCGCCTGCCCAGGTGGGTCTCGAACCTGCGGCTCAGGCAATCCACTCACCTCAGCCTCCCAAAGGCGCGGGATTACAGGCTGAGCCACCGAGCCCGGCTCATTCAACAATTATTTACAGCACATATACCATATGCCAGATTCTGTGCTAGGTGCTGGAACTACAGTGGTGAGCAATACACAACTGATCCCTGCCCTCAAGGAGCTTGCTGTGAGGATAAATGAAATAAAGATTGTGGTCGGGCACAGTGGCTCAAGTCTGTAATCTCAACACTTTGGGAGGCCGAGGTGAGAGGACTGCCTGAGCCCAAGTGTTCAAGACCAGCCTGGGCAACTTGGCAAGACCGCATCTCTACAATAAATCAAAAAATTAGCTGGGCGTGGTGGTACGCACCTGTATACGCGTGGTGGTCCAGCTACTTGGAAGGCTGAAGCAGAAGGATCACCTGAGCCCAGCAGATTGACGCTGGGGTGGCTGTGAGCATGCCACTGCACTGCAGCCTGGGCGATGGAGTGAGAGTCCAACTCAAAAAATAAAAAAATAATAAAAGGCAGGGCGTGGTGGCTCAGCCTGTAATCTCTGCACTTTGGGAGGCTGAGACAAGAGTATTGCCTGAGCCAGGCGTTCGAGATCAACCTGGGCAACTTGGTGAGACCTTGTTTCTACAATAAATCACAAAAAACTAGCCGGGTGTGGTGGCGAGCATCTGTAGTTAGTTCCAGCTACTTGAAAGACTGAGGTGGAAGGATCATCTGAGCCCAGCGGGTTGAGGCTGCAGTGGCTGTGAGCGAACCACCGCACTAAAGCCTGGGCGACAAGAGTGAAACTCCAACTCAAAAATAAATAAATAAATAAAAATTAAAAAAATAGAAAAAGAGCCAGGCTCGGTGGCTCAGCCTATAATCCCGCGGTTTGGGAGGCTGAGGTTAGTTGATTGCCTGAGCCCGCGGGTTCGAGACCCACCTGAGCAACTTGGCAAGACCTCATCTCTACAATAAATCAAAAAAATTAGCCGGGCGTGGTAGTGCGCGCCTGTAATTCCAGCTGCTTGGAAGGCTGAGGCGGAAGGATCGCCGGAGCCCAGCAGGTTGAGGCTGTGATGGCCGGGAGTGTGCCACTGCCCTCCAGCCTGGGTGACAGAGTGAGACTCCTGCTCAAAAAGAAAGAAAGAAAGAAAGAATGAATGATTGTGACATCACTCTGTCAACTATACTGCATAGGTCTCCTTTTTCTTTTTTTTTTGAGTTGGAGTCTCACTCTTGTTGCCCAGGCTGAAGCGCAATGGCACACTCACAGCCACCGCAGACTCAACCTGCTGGGTTTAGGTGATTCTTCCACCTCAGTCTTCCAAGTAGCTGAAACTACAGACGCACGCCACCACACCCAGCACAGGGTCTCATTTTTCCACTTCTTATCACCCAGTAAGATTGCAATCTCAACTAGGGCTATCTGTGCAGTAGGACCAGTCAGAAAACAAGGGTTTAGTCTGACTTTGTTTTCTTCTCTCTACAGCCTTGAGCAATTAAATCATTGCCTCTCTCCAGGTGATTCTTTATTCATATCCAGGTCAGAGTCTATGGTTTTAACTATGAAAGGAAGGAATAAGTTTCTGGAAGAAAAAGTTTTTTGGGGAGAGACCTCACTATAAAGAAGAAATAGCAGAAACAGCTGAGAACTTCTAGGCACGGTTAACTTTCTTTTGTACATTTCCCTTCCAGTCTTCCTTCAGCCACACCTTTCCTATTTCATACTTTTAGTGGCTGCGGTCTCTTATTTAATTTAACTTTTTTTTTTTTTTAGTTACAGTCTCACTCTGTAGCCCAGACTAGAGTCAGTGGCACGCTCACGGGCACCGCAGCCTCGATCTGCTGGGCTCAGGCAATCCTTCCGCCTCAGCCTTCCAAGTAGCCGGAACTAGGCACGTGACACCATGTCCGGCTCATTTTTTTATTTACTGTAGAGATGAGGTCTCGCCAAGTTGCCCAGGCAGGTCTCGAACCTATGGGCTCAGACAATCCTCTCGCCTCGGCCTCCCAAAGTGCTGGGATTACGGGCTTGAGCCACCACTCCCGGCCTGGCTACGGTGTCTTTAAGCGCGCGCCACCGGTGTAACATAAGCGGCGGGGCCAAGAACGCGTTTATTCCCGAGGTTTAGTGCTAAGTGATTTGTCCCTTTCGAGCTGCCGTCCTGCCGGTCCGCCATATTGTCTGCCGAAGCTGCCGCTGAAGCTGCCGCCGCCGCCGCCGCCGCCGCCGCTGCCAAGTCGGAGCGAGCGGAGACGCGATGGGTGAGTAAGGAAACCAGGCGATCGGGAACTCGGGCTCAGGCAGTCTCGGGGCTTGGGGTCTGACGAGAGCCTGTCTCCGGTCGGCGGAAGATGTCTGAATTTCCTCTAGAAAGGTCTGAGGAGAGAAGCCAGGCCGGGAGTGCCCCCCAGGCCAGTTTGGGACCGGAGCAGGGCCCGCGCGGGGAGCAGTCCTCTGGTGTTGGTTTCGGGAACACCTTGGCACGCCTGGGGCCGCTCACATGGTGGCCTCGGGCGGAGTCCACGTGTTCCCAGGGCTAGCAAGGGGCTTCAGGCGCGTTGCTCTCCGCCCTGCGCCCAGCCTGGTGCTGGGGGACGGGCTCCCGGCGGCAGGCCTGGGCGGCGCTAAGGTAGCCTCCTCCTGGCTTGTGTGTGGCCGACGCGCGTCCTGACCAGATTCCGTGGCTCGCCTGAACTCAGGGAAGTCCTACCTACGTCGCGGGGTGGAGTCCTCTGTTGAGGGACGCCAGGCAAGCCAGCTCCAGGCCGGTAGCCATGGGCAGCCAGGCCGAGGGCGGCTGAACTGCCTGGGCCGCTGAAGGCCAGGAGAACTAACGGAGCCCAGGCGGCTATGGTGTGTGGTTCGGCCGGGCGCGGAGTGGCACACCTCTCAGGCATAGAAAACCAAAGGCCGAGTCCCCTTGGTTTTATATAAGGTGGGGGCTTCAGGTTTCGGGGCCGGCGCTGATTAGAAGAGGAGTGACCTGTTGATCTTTCTCAGAGGACTCCGGCTGACAAGGCATCTGCTCGGAGAGAATACGTTGGCGAAGTCTTTGGACTTAGAGACAGAACCAGCAGTGGTAGTACCTCGCCAGTAAAAACTGCTCAATTTGCTCACCTCTTTCTGTGTGCAGGCATCGTTTTGATTGCTTTGCATGTCTCGTATCACTTAATTCATACAACCTAATGATGTGGACACAACCGTTATTCCTATTTTGCGGATAAGGAAGCTGAGGCTTAGAGAGGTAAAGTAATTTACCCAAGGTCACATAGTGGCTAAGCCAGAAGTGCCTCTCCAAACCCTAGTTTGTAACTGCTGTTTTTTTTTTATAATCTGGCCCTCTAGTGGTTGGGGTGGAAGAAAGGGGAAGAAAGCTTTTACCCCTAGGGAAAATTGTAAAGGTGTTTTTTGTATGGGCCCACTTTGAAATCTTTATTCTGAACGAAATTGAAAAATTCCAGAGTAAATTGCTAACCCCAATTATTGTGTGTTGGGGTGGGGTGCTAAATGAGATTCCAGAATTGAATTTTTTGAGATCCCTGATCCTAAGGAAACACATATTATTCTGTTGAGTTTAGAATCAGATCTGGTATTATAATCGGATCTGTCACTTCTAGCCCACATTCAGAGAAGTCACTTAAATGTCAGACACAACAGATGCATTTGGAAAGCATCTAGCATAGTTCACAATAAATATTTTTCTTCCTCTTTGAGTGTTCCTTTTCTCATCTGTAGAAAGGAGGGGTGGGGTAGTGTTATCAAGGTATTTGGGTACTAAATAAGGTAACAGTGTTTGAAGCCTAGTAAGGGCTCTGTGAATATCAGAATAGATTCTTTCCTTTTTTTTTTTTTCCCCCAAGTTGGAGTCTCACTCCTCGCCCAGGCTGGTGTGCAGTGGCACGCATGCTCAAAGCCACCCCAATGTCAACTGCTGGGCTCCTGCGATCCTTCCCCAAGTAGCCGGAACTACAGGCACATGCTACCACACCTGGCTAATTTTTTGATTTATTGTAGAGATGAGGTCTTGTCAAGTTGCCCGGGCTGATCTCGAACCCATGGGCTCAGGCAATCCACTTGCCACGGCCTCCCAAAGTGCTGGGATTACACTACAGGCTGAGCCACCAAGCCCAGCCCAGATTCTTTCCCACCTTCAATAATATTAGATCCTTTCCCTTAAGCGCTCTGGTTTCCAGATTCCTCCACTGAATAATAAAGACGGATAGACTTGTCTTTGTAGCTTTATATATCAATGAAAAAATTGTAGGGAATTTTATATTGTAAACTTTGTATTGGTCTTCAGTTTCAGGAACGCTGGTGTCTCAAAAGAAAGAAACTAATGTTTATTAAGCTCAGTGAAATAAATTTGGTAGAGATTTACTCAGTTTTATAGATTGGGAAATTATCTCAGAGAAAACACACCCAATAAGCCACAAAGCCAGGAGTAAGATTCTTACCCATTTTGCTGCACATAATCCTCTACGAAGACTTCAAGTGTTAAGAAGTGAAGTTCTACTTGAAAGGCTGGGGTGGCAGGATCGCCTGAACCTAGCAGGTCAAGGCTGCGGTAGCTGTGAGTGTGCCACTGCACTCCAGCCTGGATGACAGAGTGAGACTGACTAAAAAAAAAAAAACCAGGCGTGGTGTCTCACACCTATAATGCCAGCACTTTGGGAGGCCAAGTGCCTGAGTTCAGGGGTTCGAGACCAGCCTGGGCAACTTGGTGAGACCTCATCTCTACAATAAAAAAAAAATTGGGCAGGCGAGGTGGCTCATGCCTGTAGTTCTGGCTACTTGGAAGGCTGAGGCAGAAGGATCGCCTGAGCCAGCAGGTCAATGCTGGGGTGGACGTGAGCATGCCACTGCACTGCAGCCTGGGTGATAGAGTAAGACTCTGACTCAAAAAAAAAAAAAAATTAGTTTTTGATTGGTATAGCTCATCATGAAAATTCTTCAGTGGCACAACAAAAAAAACCTGCCTGAGAACTTGAAGGGGATTTTTAGTCCAGAGTCAGGTAACTTTCCCTTTCCAGGTACCTCTCCCCATTCCCTGATTTTTTTTTTGGTCAGTCTCACTGTCACACAGGCTGGAGAGCAGTGGCACACTCACGGCCACTGTAGCTTCGACTTGCTGGGCTCAGCCAATCCTTCTGCCTTAGCCTTCCAAATAGCTGCAGCTACAGCACTCACCGCCATGCCCAGCTAACTTTTTGGTTTATTGTAAAGATGAGGTCTTGCCAAGTTGCCCATGCTGATCTTGAACCCTGGGGTCAGGCAATCCTCTTGTCTCCGCTTCCCAAAGTGATGAATGTCAGGTTTTTTTTGGTTTTTTTTTTTCTGAGTGGGGATTCTCACTTTGTCACCCAGGCTAGAGTGCAGTGGCATGCTCATGACCACCACAGCCTCCACCTGCTGGGCTCAGGTAATCCTTCTGCCTCAGCCTTCCAAGTAGCTGGAATTATAGGCATGTGCCAGCAAGCCTGACTAATTTTTTGATTTACTGTAGAGATGAGGTCTCACCAAGTTGCTTGGGCTGGTCTCGAATCTATGGGCTCAGGCAATCCTCTCACCTTGGCCTCCCAAAGTACTGGGATTCTAGGTGTGAGCCACCGTGCCCGGCCAACTTTTTTTTTTTGTTTTGAGTTGGAGTCTCACTCTGTCGCCCAGACCAGAGTGCAGTGGCTGCTCCCAGCCACCGCAGCCTCGATCTGCTGGGCTCTGACGATCCTTCCGCCTCAGCCTTCCAAGTAGCTGGAACTACAGGCGCGCGCTTCCATGCCTGGCTTATTTTTCATTTATTGTAGAGATGAGATCTCGCCAAGTTGTCCAGGCGGGTCTTGAACCCGCGGGCTCAGGCAGTCCACTCACCTCGGCTGGGATTACAGGCTGAGCCACCGAGCCCATTCTGGCCAACTTTTTTTAAAAAATCTTATCTATATCCCATGGGACTAAACTAAAGTAAGTATTCATTTAACCCAAGGTAGTTTGGGTTATTCCCATTTGCAGCTGTAAACTGAGGCCTTGAGGAGATTAGGTGACTTGTCCCAAGGCTGGTGATCTAGGCCCTTTGGGTCCTGGGGACACTAACATACCCTTGAGTTCAGAACCTGTTATACTGTTTTGTTTTGTTTTGTTTTGTTTTTGAGTTGGAGTCTCACTCTGTCTTCCAGACTGGAGTGCAGTGGCACACTCCCGGCCACTGCAGCCTCGACCTGCTGGGCTCCAGTGATCCTTCCGCCTCAGCCTTCCAAGTAGCTGGGACTACAGGTGTGCGCTACCACGCCCGGCTAGTTTTTGATTTTATTGTAGAGATGAGGTCTCGCCAAGTTGCCTGGACTGGTCTCGAACCCGCAGGCTCAGGCAATCCACTTGTCTCAGCCTCCCAAAGTGCTGGGATTACAGGCTGAGCCACTGAGCCCGGCTCTCTGCCTCTTAAGTATGTGCTCCAGCTCAGGCTTATGTCCTATGCTGTCTCTGCTGTCCAGACTTCAGTTCCCTTAACAGACCTTTGTGGTAATTTCACTGCCCTTTGTAGGGGTGATGCTTGTAGTTCTGAAGGTTGCTTTATTCTGGCTCTGGCTAGCAAATACTACAACCTCATGAGTCTTAGCAGACACTGATTGTCTTACCATCATTGCTACTATTTTGCTAACTAGGAATCTGGCTGCCCTTCCACACTCCTAGGGTGTAGGTTTGTTTTTGTTTTGTTTTGTTTTGCTTTTTGAATTGGAGTCTCACTCTGTCACCCAGACTGGAGTGCAGTCCACACTTCTAGGGTGTAGGTTTGTCTTTGTTTTGTTTTGTTTTGCTCTTTGAGTTGGAGTCTCACTCTCACCCAGATTGGAGTGCAGTGGCACACTCACGGCCACCGCAGCCTCCACCTGCTGGGCTTAGGCAATGCTTTTGCCTCAGCCTTCTGAGTAGCTGGAACTATAGGCGTGTGCTACCATACCTGGCTTATTTTTTGATTTATTGTAGAGACAAAATCTCACCAAGTTGCTCAGACTAGTCTCAATCCCTGTGTGGTGTAGGTTTTGATATAAACTGTACACCTATCATTGTCATTCTGTCTCCCTAGACAGTGATTGATTTAAGCATGGGTATATGATGCATTTCTGGCTAATTCGATGTGAAAGGAAGCCTAAGTGACTTCTGGAGACACCTTCCTTAAAAGAGATTTGCCACTTTTATTTTATTATTTTTTGTCACTTTATATTTTATCCTAGGTTTCACCAAAGTGTGAGAGCCTCAAAAAAAAAAGACAGATGGGAAAGCTGTAATAATAATAGACAGTCTTATATAGAACTTGCTAAGTATAGGCATGCCTTGGAGATAAGGCAGATATGGTTACAGACCACACCAATAAAGTGACTATCATACTGAAGCAAGTCACACAATTTTTTTTTGCGTTGGAGTCTCACTCCATCGCCCAGGCTAGAGTGCAGTGGCACACTCGTGGACACCCCAGCGTCAACTGACTGGGGTCCAGCAATCCTTCCACCTCAGCCTTCCAAGTAGCCGGAACTACAGGTGCGAGCTACTACACCTGGCTAATTTTTATTTATTGTAGAGATGAGGTCTTGCCAAGTTGCCCAGGCTTGTCTCGAACCCACGGGCTCAGGCAATCCACTT